TTCGGGGTAGGGGTCGTTCGGGTCGGGTCTCGAGGGTGAGAGCCATTGGAGGCTTGCGCATTTGCGGTGCTTAACGCTTTCAAGTATGATCTCTTAGAAAGAGTGAAGCACGCGTCAAGGGTAAGATCGTCTTCTTTCTCTCTCCTTGTTAATTAATTATGTGATTGTTAATAAATATGCATGTTTAGTTACTTTAATTTGTGTGCGGATTTTTGGAGGGTTTCATTCCGCGTAGTGTTGGACACTACGAAACCCAACAGCGGTATCAGAGTCACACTCATTTAATTATTGTAACTAATAATTATTTAAGGTGATTTAAATGGATTTAAATTTCTGATTTTGCTTTCTTATTAGATTAGAAGCTCGTTTTAATTAGTTTTAATCTCGTATTTATACTAATTTTGGCTCAAGAACCCAGATTTCGACCCAAAAATAGTGAATTTTGGGTGGAACCGATGTTCTAAATCAGTATTGATCCTCTTTGAAACCTGTCCAGAAGCCAAAATCCACCTAGAAACACATTTTTTCGAAGGGGTCTTTCGTTTTTTACGAAAAAATTTAATTAAATCTTTAAACATTGATTAATTATGGCATGTTAATGTTAGATTATGTGTATGATTACATCATTAATCTACTACAATAATAACCCTTATTAAGCACGTTTATGAAGTCATATTTGGTGCTTAATTTGGTGAGTTCATTTTTCACATAAACTTGCAATTTCACATTTTTTGCAAATTAATTGCTTCAAGTGTGAATGTTTATGATGAATTTGTAATTTTGAAGTCCCCAAACGTGTTAAAGATCCAATCTTTAATTGTTTATTTGGTTGGAACTTAACTATCTAAATTCCACGTTGAACTAATTTGGATTTAATCATTTTTGAGTTGATTAAAGTCTTAAAAGTTCAAAACTTGTGATTGAAATTTAATTAATCTTAATATTGGAAGATGTAATTTTTCAAGTTTACACAAGTTAGTGTTGGAAATTTATCATTGGATGATTGTGTTTATTTTTCCAACCTCTTTAATTTTTGTCAAATCTCATTATTAATTTATGTATGGTTAAATTAATTGTGAGAATAGCCCTTCAATTTTGTAGCATCAAGATGAACCAAAAATAATTTAAAAAATGGTTCTTGAATTAATTTTGTTTTGTTCACTAAAATTGAATTTATTTTGAGTTGGACTTGATTTATTTTAATTTTTGCTCAATATTAATTCTAAAATTAATTTAGATTTAATTTTAACATCACACAAAAATCAGGATAAAATCCCGAGGACACGAGCACGCAAATCGAGGCACACAAACCTCGAGCACTCTCTTGGCCAGCCGGGTTGCTTACGCAGCCCACATGTGGCTGCCGAGGTGTGCAGGGCTGCTGGTGCTTCGATGCGTGTCTCGTGGTGCGTGTGTATGCGGAGCTTGATGCACTTGGTGCGGTGTGTGCCAGCTTCGTGCACGCTTGGTGCGATGCGTGGGGTGCTGAGGTGTGCTACAGTGGGCAGCAGAACCTAAAGCCTTTGAGGCCGAGTCTTGCGTGCACGCAAGCACGCTGATGTGGCCAACATAACACGCGAGCGATGCTGTCAGCCACTCCCACATGCTTGGTGCGGCAAGGGGTGTGCGAGGGCAGCAACCACGCATGGTAGCCGCGCTTTGGTGCCTAGCACACCGAGCCTCGGGGCTTGGTGCTAGGCACTTGGGTATCTTTGGGCTATGTGTTTTACGATTTTTGCCATTTTAATTATTTTATTATTTAAACAAGGCTAGGCCTTGGTTTTGCCGGCACCTGCAAAATAATTTGGCAAAATTTGGGTTAACCGAGTTAATTAATTGGATTAATTAATTTGGATTCAGAATTTAGTGGGAGCTTCGTTAATTACTTGAGCTAATTTTATTGCGTTTAAACACATAATCGGTCATTCACTAGTTTTGAGTGTGCTGTGCAATGTTACTTGTTTTACACTATGAAATGCATGGGTCATTCACTAAATGGATGAATGAATGAAATGTAGATTGTATCACAGGTTTTGTGAAAATGGCAACTAGTGGGGCCCGATTAGGATAGTAAATACGAACTGCAATCCGTTATGTATTTTTATTAATCTAAATACGGTCTGCATACCGTTGTGTATTTTTGTACCTTAATATTTAGATTAGTCCTAGTCATAATTACTAGTAGTTGCATAATTGGTGGAGATGTCTCGAAGACGGCGTTTCTAAGAAGACAAGCCAAGAGGATGCAACGAAGACCCTTGAAGACTAAAGGGGTCATGCTAGTTGCCAAATGCATCTTTTACTTATGTTTTCTATATATAATTATGCTTATATATATGAATGATATGTTAGATGCATGTTTAGGATTTCGAATGTTTTATGATTAATTAAGTTCACTTAAATCAACCAACATAGAAACTTTAGGTCCCTATAAAATTGAGCCAAATTTGTCATTCCAAGAACAACACTTACTGAACTAATGCGCATAGTGATAGGCTATGACAAAGCAAGGCATCACTATTTCTCTAGGAACGTAAGGTATACTAGGTATACAAGTTGATCTTGGTTAAGCTCAACGATACCAGTAAGGAGTCCTTAGATGTCGTGGCAATGTAGATAAAACGTCAAGGAAGCATTAGATGCGACGTTTTATCGTACAAAGAGTAGCTTAGAGCTATTAGAAATTGGATTGCTTACCTTAAAATATTAAGTGTTAAGACAAGCCAAAGCATGCTTAATCACTTTTGAATTTTGGGATGTTGGAATCATTTTATTCTCGCCTAAAAGGGACAAATATTATTGCGTGGATAAAACGCTCAATAAGATTGAAAAATTTCATGTATGCTTTAATTTCAACTTATTGGTTTTATGAATGGTTTTTCATTTCAAATTCTTTCAATTGTAAAATCATGTCTACAAATAACTCAAACAACCAATTTTCGTTACGCTCAACTCTCGACAAGGAGAAGTTGAGTGGATCAAATTTTCTTGATTGGCAAAGGAACTTGCGTATAGTACTCATGCAAGAGCAAAAGGAATACGTCCTTGATGAGAAAATGCCTGACGCTCCCAATGAGGAGGTCACTCAGGTTGCCCTAAACCGATGGCAAACTGCCAATAGGGATGTCAAATGCATCATGTTGGCCACAATGTCTCCGAACCTCCAAAAGACTTTCTTTGAAAGGGAGACGACTTTTGAGATCATTTTTGAGCTTCAAAACATGTTCCAAGAGCAGGCCCAAACTGAGAGGTTTGAAACCCACAGGCAGATCCTTGAGAGCAAGCTCAAGAAAGGAGAGCCAGTTAGCCCACATGTACTTAAAATGATCGGATTATTTGAGAACATGGAAAGGCTTGACGCTCAGTATTCGACCGAGATGGCAATTGATATTATTCTCCATTCAATGCACAAAGGCTATGATCAGTTCAAGATGAACTATAATATGCACAGCATGGAGAAAATCCTCATCGAGCTTCATGGGATGTTGAAGCAGGCCGAGCAAACGCTCAAGGATGAGGGGAAGCATGAAATGCTTATGATTTAAACTTCGCTAGCAAAACATCATGGGTATTAGATACTGTATGTGGCTCACACCTTTGTTCCAATGCTCAGAGGCTAAGGATAAATAGGAGGCTAGAGAAGGGAGAGGTCAAACTACGGGTCAGCAATGGAGTCAGGATGTCAGCCATATCCGTTGGAACTCTCAGTTTGTCTTTGTCTTCTAGGCTTGTTCTAGAACTTGACAATTGTTATCATGTTCCAAGAGTTACCAAAAAAAATTATTTCAATTTTGGTGTTGGACGCCAAGGGATTTGAATTTCGGATAAAAGACAATAGTTGTTCGTTTATTTCGATAATGTTTTATATGGTAAGACATATTCAGAAAATGGTCTTTATGTGCTTTCTCTAGACAAACAAGTTTATAATGTTGATGATACCGCTAAAAAAGCTTAGACCATTGAGTCGAATCAAACCTACATGTGGCATTGTCGTCTTGGCCACATTAACAACAAACGCATCAAGAAACTTCTTCATGAAGGTATTCTTGACTCATTCGACTTAGAATCGTTTGAAAATCGCGAAGGATGTTTATTAGGCAAGATGATAAAGCAACCATTCTCCAAGATAGGAGAAAGGGCTAGTGACTTATTGGGCCTTATACAAATGGATGTATGTGGAGCAATGAGTACACCTGCAAGGCATAATTATCGATATTTCATCACCTTCACAGACGACTATAGTAGATATGGATATGTCTACCTTATGTCGAACAAATCTGAATCTTTTGAGAAATTCAAAGAGTTTCAGAGTGAAGTGGAAAATCAGCTTGACAAGAAAATTTAAGCACTTCGATCGGATCGAGGTGGCGAATATTTGAGCCACGAATTCGACAATCATCTAAAAGAAAATGGTATTCTCCTAAAGTTGACACCTCCCAGAACTCCACAATGGAACGGAGTGTCCAAGAGAAGGAATCGAACCTTGTTAGACATGGTTCGATCAATGATGGGTCTTAGCGATATTCCTATCTCTTTCTAGGGGCACGCACTTCCAACCGCGGCACTAACCCTGAACCGAGCTCCGTCAAAAGCTGTCGATAAAACTCCATATGAATCATGGACGAAGAAACCTCCACGGTTGTCTTTTCTTAAGATTTGGGGTTGCGAAGCATATGTCAAGAGATTAATTTCATACAAACTTCACCCAAAATCAGACAAGTGTTTCTTTGTGGGATACCAAAAGAAACTAAAGGATATTACTTCTACAACAAATCCGAGAACAAAGTGTTTCACTAGTAGAAAAAATGAAATAGGCACCGCAAAATGCACACCGATTTTTAAAAACAATGCGAAAAAAATAGGCGGGATTGAGGGGAAGACTTTTCTCACCTATTTTAACAAAATCGGTGCAAAAAGTGAGTAAATCACACCGGTTCGGTTTGAACCTATGCGAAATCTATTGTTAAATAAAAATTAAAAAAAAAAAAAAAAAAAAAACGGTCAATCCTCTTTCTTTCTCTTTCATTTCCTCGATCTTTCTTCCTCTCTCATCTGCCTCTCTCTCCTCCATTGAAGCGTACTCGAAATTCTCAATTGAAGGGGCTTCTGAGCTTTCTCTCAGCACTTTCCTCAAAATTACGAATTCAGTTTTCACTTACACACTGCGCTATTCTATCTCCCAATTTTCCATTGAAGCGCACTCCACGTTCTCCATTGAGGCGCCCTTCTGAGATTTCTATCCTCCATTGATGCAGCTTCTGAGGTAAGTTATCGTTTCTTTTTGTAATCTTCCAATATCAATTTCACAATCTAGGGTTTATCGTTGATCTAATTTAATTTAATTGTCAGTATTTAGTTAATTTAGGGTTCGTATTTTTGCAGTATCGCTAACGAGTGATTATGTTGCAATAGAAGGAAATTACAAGCCTAATTAATTGAATCAAATTTGTCTTTTCTCTCTAAATTATGTGAAATTTCGAAGCCTGATTTGTTAATTTTAGGATTGAACTATGAAATTGCCCCTGAATTTGATATGTGTGTTTATTGTCTTTCAATTTCTCACACTATCAAAATTCGTAATCTCAGAAGGGCACCTCAATGGAGAATGTGGAATGCGCTTTCATCATTCATGGTCTTCGCATTGATAAGTTGGAATTTGTATGTGTTCTGTATATTTTGATGTTTTTGACATACTGAATTGTGGGAATGTTGGGGTTGAGCTTGTTGAAGTGATTTTATAATCTATGAAGATTGATTTACTGCTGATTTTCTGAATTTAATTGTGATTTTAGTCCAATAAGGGTGCTATTGATTTGATTGTGTCTTGGGTGATAAAATTTAGGAATTTTGAGTTTTCGTTAATTGTCGGTGCTTGAAGTGATTCATCACTCAATGGAAGACTAAAGAGGGAAAATCCCTTTTTACAAGTTATAATTATGTACCTGGCATATTACAATAGTGCATGAGATTTGTTTCTTCTGTAATTGTAGTGCATTATTGGTAGAAAGTTTAATTGTATATTACAACTACCTGTTTGACTAAATTACTGCTCACCAGCCAACGTGAGCAAGTTGATGTCTAGCTTTTTGAGTTTGGTTTATTTTTTAGTTTGGTTTCTGAATATTTGAAATTTTGAGTATATATATTAACTTCACCATGTGTTACCAATTAAGATTATTATAAATAAAATAGACATAATTTAACTAAAAATTACTTCGTATATTATGTACAAAGCCTAATAATTTATCTGTTCCAAGGAAGCTGTGAAGAAGTGCCTTCTTTAGTAATGTTTGTGAGAATTGAAAGCTAAATGCCTGAAAATTTTCTTTTCCTATTTAAAAATATCAGGATGGCAGTTGCTATGCTTGTCAAGAGACATGCTGATGGATTGCTACCTACTGATGACTACAACATTGAGCTTGAGGATCAAAGAGGGCAGAAGCTTAATATGGGTTCTGACAGATCAAAGGTATGTGTTTGCTGATTGCAAGCTATTGTATGCACCATCTGGAAGTCTCTCTTTAGTTTCAATTATTGAGAAGCAACGCATGTGCGGAATTGCCTTATATTTTGTATATGACAGGGAAATAATGATGGGTCTTTGCTGCATACAAAGGGAAGAAGCTAATGAGAGCACAGCAATACAAAGAGGCATTACAGGCGCTTGAAATGGGAGAGGTTATAGTTAATAAGAAATTATTTTATCAGACATTCGATTTTTTGTGTAACTCTTTTTTGAATATGATGTTCTTAACACGAGATCCATTTTGTTAATCAGAAAGCCTTTTCTCTCTGTGACTCGAAACTCATAGAGGTATTAGTCATTCCTTTTCTCCCCGGGTTTTTAAATCTTGCTTTGAAGTGGTATCTTACCGAGATTTATTCTGCATATCTGAGAGTATCTGGTTATCTGCTTTCTTCTTTCTGTGTGTTGCAGTTAAATATGTGCATGCTTATTTAGTGGTTTATATTCACAGTGTATTGACATTGTTCCAATCCTTTAAATTGACATGGTGTGGACGTGTGGTGCTATTTTATGCTTCGGGACATCAACTTGCTCACGTTGGCTGGTGAGCATATTACAAAAGCTAGAGTAGTTTAATTGTATATTACTATTGCTGTGTTGTTCAGTCAGCTGCAGGGTTGATGAAACCTCCTATGGGCTTTGTGAAAATTAATACGAATGCTGGTATTTTTAGCAGCAGGGAGGTTGGACTTGGGGTGGCAATTAGGGACTCTTGTGGAAGCTGCTTGCTACGGCTGTGACAAAGAAGAGGGTTCTTTGTCTTAGTGTTAACGTCATTTTGATGCTTATAAATAATCTGCATTCGATTTGTCTACTAGGTCATGGAGGTGCTTATGTCACTGCAAGGATCCCAAATGGAAGCTGATGATCCTACAACAAGTTACATGCTACAAGTAAAGTTTGCTTCTTAAAGCACATTTTATTGCACTTGCTTCATAGAAGACTCCTAATGTAACTTTTGGGTGCTCGATTACATTTTTTTTTGGCTCAAAAACAGAACACACCAACAAAAACCTCTTTCTTTCTCTTAATTTCAAAAGAAAAAATGGATGTAAGTCTTCTCTTATTTTCTTTTCTCTTCTAATTCAAAAAATTAATGATGATTAAGGGTAATAATATATTGAATTTGATGTTAACAAACAGGAATATAGGTGGCCTGGAATTATCATGTGCCGGCATTTGGAGGGTGGGATTATGAAGAAAATGATCTGCCTTATACGCAGTGTATACTATTTTGTGATGAGATGTGATTGGTACGTTTTGTTGATAGGTATGGTAAATCATTAATCATGCTGTTACTGTAGTCGGGTATGGGACTGATTATTGGGTGTTGAAGAATTCGTGGGGTGAAAGTTGGGGAGAAAATGGTTATATGAGGATCATTAGAGGTCAAAACAAATGTGGTATTACTTCCTACGCTTCTTATCCTATATGATTTTATCAAACCTTAGTTTGCACAAAGAATGACCAGATCATGAGTTTTGGTCAGTTTGCCAATGTTCTGAGGTCATTTTTTCTGTTGGTGTTTTATCAGGTTGTTTTTTTTTTTTTTTTTGTTTCACCTTATGTGATGACGTGATAGCTTTGTACAAATAGTGCTCTTTTCCTGAGAAATATCTTTATTAGTGAAACTTAATTCTATGAACCTATGCATTTTACATTGTTAAAGCTGAGCAGTTATTATAATAACGCCTGATGATGTGGCCTTCACTGTCATCCTGACAGCCTGCAGCCATGCGGCACTGTTAGAGGAAGGTTACTGCTTATTTGATATGATGAGTAAATATTCAATTAACCCCTCGCCTGACCATTATGCATGCATGATTGATCTTCTAGGTCGATCTGGCCACTTAGAAGCAGCCTATGATCTTCTTAAGTCATTACCAATTGAGGCCCATGCTGAATGTTGGGGAGCACTTCTTGAGGCATGTAGATTGCATTGTGATATTGAGCTGGCCGAAGTAGTAGCCAATCAACTAGTTGAACTTGACCCTCATAATGCAGGAAATTTTGTTTTGTTTTCCAATGTCTGCAGCAGCAGGTCGTTGGTTGGATGTTTCTAATGTAAGGAACCAAATAGATGCTCGGGGACTAACTAAAATTCATGGTCGTAGTAATATTATCTTTGTATTTTATAATATCATATTTCAATGCAATTTTATTTAATTTTTTATTTTTTAGGACGAAAATTGTAATATTACAACCTTTTTTAATGAAAAATTGTAACTTTATATATATGTTAGTGTTTATATATCAATTTAAGTGAAAAAATGCAAAAAAAAGTATTATTTTTTTGGGGTATTTTTGGCATCGGTTTTGAAACAGAACCGGTGCTAAAAGTTTTTTTTTAATTTTTTTGGCCACTTTTCGCACCGGTTCACACCAAGAACTGGTGATAAAAGTTTTTTTTTAATATTTTTGGGGACTTTTTCACACTAGTTCACATCAAGAACCGGTGTGAAAAGTCTTGGGATTTGGCATCCCTCAAATCAGAACCGGTTCAAAACCGATGCAAAATGGGGGTTTGAACTGGTGCTGATTAGCAATTTTCGCTTAATGTTTATTGCTCGTGATGGTTTCTTTTTGGAGAAGGAGCACCTTTCCAGAATGACAAGTGGGAGGAAAATCGAACTCAATGAAGTTCAAGAGGACGAGCAACACAACAAATTCAACCTGACAATCAAAGTGCTTTAGAAGCAGCTATTGACATTTGTCAAAGCCAAACCGACAATACAAATGCTCAACCTATTAGCCTGCGTAGGTCGCAACGACCAAGATCTCAACCAGATAGATACCTCGGTGTTGTCTTAACCGAAGATCAAGAAATCCTAATTATGGATAGAGATGAGCCAGCGACGTACAAACAAGCTATGACGAGCCTCGACTCTATAAAATGGCAAGAGGCCATGAAATCCGAGATGGACTCCCTGTTTGAAAATCAAGTCCGGGACTTGGTTGATTTGCCCAAAGGTTACACACCTATCGATTGCAAATGGATTTTTAAGTTGAAAACCGACAAAGATGAAAATGTATCTATATACAAAGCTAGATTGGTGGCAAAAGGTTACAGGCAAATTCACGGCGTAGATTATGATGAAACCTTTTCGCCAGTCGCCATGCTTAAGTCTGTCCGAATTATCCTAGCAATTGTCGCATATTATGATTATGAAATATGGCAAATGGATGTCAAAACCACCTTCCTTAAGGGGATTTTGGAAGAAACTATGTACATGACACAGCTGGAAGGTTTTGTTGATCCAAGCAATGTTGTGAAGGTATGCAAGCTTAAGAAGTCCATTTATGGATTAAAGTAGGCAAGCGGAAGTTGGAATCTGCGATTCAATGAAGCCATTAGTAAGTTTGGTTTTATCAAGAATCCAGATGAATCTTGTGCTTACAAGAAGGTCAGTGGGAAAAACATCGCATTCCTCGTCTTATATGTCGATGACATATTGCTCATTGGAAACAGCATCACAATGTTAGAGTACGTAAAGGCCTGGCTTGGAAAGTGTTTTTCAATGAAGGACTTGGGAGAGGCACAATACATATTGGGCATCAAGATCTATCGGGATACGTCTAAAAGGATGATTGGATTGAGCCAAATTACTTATATTGATAAGGTACTGGCACGATTCAACATGGAAGGGGCCAAAAGAGGGCACCTACTCATGTCACATGGTACAACTCTCAGCAAGAAGCAGTGTCCACAATCACCTGATGAGCGAGAGAGGATGAATCAGATCCCATATGCTTCGCTTATTGGATCTATCATGTATGCCATGATATGTACTAGGCCGGATGTATCGTATGCCTTGAGCGCTACGAGCCGATACCAATCAGACCCAAGAGAGACACATTAGACTGTGACCAAAAATATCCTAAAGTACCTGAAAAGGAACAAGGATAAATTCCTGGTCTATGGTGGATGTAATGATTTGGTTGTTGAAGGTTGTACCGACGCAAGCTTCCAGACTGACAAAGATGACTCCAAGTTGCAGTCAGGGTACATATTCTGTCTAAATAGAGGAGCGTTTAGTTGGAAGAGTGCTAAGCAAAGCACTACTGCAGTACTACAACTGAAGCCGAATACTTGGCAGCTTTAGAAGCAGCTAAGGAGGCAGTTTGGATTCGTAAGTTCATTAGTGAACTTGATGTTGTACCCTCCATCAAGGGTTCGATAGACCTCTATTGTGATAACAATGGAGCTATTGCTCAGGCCAGGGAGCCAAGGGAACATCAAAAGGTCAAACATGTCAAGAGGCGATTTCACATGATAAGGGAATGGAAGTCCGAGGGTGAAATCGGAATTTGTAAAATTGGAACGAACGACAATGTAGCCGATCCACTCACTAAACCTTTGCCTCAAGTGAAGCACAACAAGCACGTTGAGGCAATGGGAATCAGGCATGTTGGAGATTGGCTTTGATTTCCCTGTTCCTGTGTTTTAATTAAATTTGAGTTTTTAATGTAAAACACTATGTTGAACCATTCGATTTTGGAGTAATTTAATCTTCTGCAAAATTATTATCACTCCATTTCTATTTAATTGTGGTTTAGAATTAAATAATGAGTCCATTCGATTTCTAAGAATATTCAAAATAGGGTATCAAGACAATGTCTTGGATAAAGAAACACCTGTTAAGTGAACATTGAATTTTTCAATCGAAAATTATCCCTAATCAAGGTCATTTAAATGATGGATGATTAATGTGCACTTGAGATTAGTGTGTAGTATGATTTATAGTACTGTTTTTTGTGCTACAAGGACATGATTGTCATAAATCATTTGCACAGGTACTGGTTTGGAACTATACTGGATTGACCTATGAGAATACTTTAAGAGACTTAAAATAGTCATAAGTATATTTCTCATTATAGCTATTGGAACCTTCTTCCTTGACCATGAGTATTGTAAGTTCTCTTGTTTGAGTACTAGTTCGTTTTGATGTTGTCAAACGTCTGCCGTAAATGGGGATTATAACGACAACACTCGGATGGCTAGGTCCTCTTAGTAAGGGAAGCTAACAATAGAAGACTAGGAATGTCCCCCTATTAACAAAGGGAACATGTCTTTGTTGTTTACAAGGCCTATCAAAGAGCGAGACTGTAAAATGCATGGTCTGCGCGTAATAAGGATGACGAAGAATCTTACCTTATAGTTCATGAAGAGACATTGAGTGACATAGGAAATGAGTTATACACTAACTGCACACTTGTGCGGAAGGACAAGTGGGAGATTGAAAGGAATGGTGTCCTTCCAACAAGTGTATTCTTCTGATAGAGGGTTCAGAATTATTAGAAAGCTAATTATTCAGTGAGGTCAAGTGATCGGAATGCCTAGCTGGAGGCCGCTTCCGATCAGTAACATTAATGTATAATTAATATTACATCTTAATTTTGACTGAACCTTTCGGGTCACACCCCAATCGAGTAACCGATCCGAGGCGACGAATTAATTCGAAGGATTAGATGAGTCATTAGAGTATTACGAACAAAGACGTCGGATATCGAGCTTAGATTGTCGAAACCGAGCGTCATAAGTCAAGTCGAATTTAGAATTCGACAAGATGAGAAATCAAGCAAACGACAAGTTCAAGCTAAGTCATAGCCTCGCATTGGTCCAGCCATGCGAGTGCTAGGCTAGCATAGGGCACCAACCGCATCGCATGGCTATGCCGCAAGCCAAGCATACATGTGCATGCTAGGCTTGTTGGCCGAGCATGCTTGCGGGGCTGGTGCACCTGGACACATGCAAGCTAGCAGCTGGCGGGCCATGCGTGCTAACGTGCTAGCATGCTGGGCCTCGCACCCGGCCACACGCAGCAGCTTCTAAGCAGTGCCAAGCATACGCAACGCAACAGCAGCAGCAGCCCGCATAGCGTGTGTGGCTTGCTTGCTGTGCGCATGCATATGCGGGCTGGCTGGCTGGCATGCCCAGCAAGGAAGCTAGGCGCCAGCAAGGCAGCCAACGCAGGCTGCCAGCCAGCTAATGCGTGGCCAGCTCATGCATGTTGGGCACCCGGTTTTTGGTGGATTGCTTGGGGAGCAAGGGGAGTTTGGTCCCCCCTTGTGGTCCTCACCTAACCCCCTTGTTCACCTCTTGACTCTTGGCGTTTGTTGATTCACTTGCATTTTCAATTTGATTTTTAAATTAAAATAAATTGAATAAAGTGCAATATTACCAACTCTCCCACATTGATGGGAGATTGGAATTCAAGGATGCCTTCCCTATAAATACCCATCATTTGGGATTGGAAAGGGACACTTGAGTTGTGAATTTTAAGGGATCTCCAAGAAGAGAACACCTTAATTCTAATATTCTAAGTATTCTTGGTCTAGCCCCGACTAAGGTTTCGGGTAGGGGTCGTTCGGGTCGGGTCTCGAGGGTGAGAGCCATTGGAGGCTTGCGCATTTGTGGAGCTTAACTCTTTCAAGTACGAGCTCTTAGAAAGAGCGAAGCATGCATCAAGGGTAAGATCGTCTTCTTTCTCTCTCCTTGTTAATAAATTATGTGATTGTTAATTAATATGCATGTTTAGTTACTTTAATTTGTGTGCGGATTTTGGGAGGTTTCATTCCGCGTAGTGTTGGACACTACGAAACCCAACAAATGCAAACACTATTTTTAAGTATCGTGAT